AGGGAGCTTAAACTTTCAAAATACTTAAAAGTCAGCCCTCTGTATACCTGGCATTAAGGATTCACATGTAAACCTACCTGATAATTGTCCCTTCTATTCTCTCAAGTATGAAGAGTCATTCCACAGGCACCTCTCCCTTGGCACCAGAGAAATGGACAGAAAGTACAACATGAATCTTAGCAGATCTTTGGCCCACCCTAACAAGGGAAATCAGTCTTTTCACACCTGAGATTGTTCCTAACAGCAAGCCAACTTTGCTCTCCAAGGTCTGACTCTCAGGATTAGGAAATGAGTTCCATAATGAGGTCTCCAGGCACTTTGCTGTTTGGATTGTGTCTTCTGCTATTGATCACTTGGGAGTAGTAAAAATAAGTACTATTTTGGAAGGAGAAATACCAGACATTTGGGACAGACAATTTAGTCCTTTATTTAGAACATGCAAGGCAGAGTTAGTGCTTTGTGACCCAAAGACAAGCATCTTCTAGTAGGTGAGGTTAAGAGAGTCTAGGAGAACATAATATGACTATTTATACCCTTCGCTTCTGGTCTAAGACAAGGAGACTGTGAAAGGCATTGTTTTCTACTCTCTAAATACTGTAGTTTCTCTTAGGTATTGCATTGTAGGTGGTGTCTAAAGATTTATCAGTAAAAGGGGAATTCCTATTAAACCATACCTCTGCTTGGTATGACATCAGTGATCCCCTGATAAGGAAATTCATAGACTATGCAGCAAAATAGCATAATTCTATAAAGTAATCTAAAATTAAATGAGTGATGTGTTTTAAATGATTTTAGAAAAGGCATTGACAAAAATTGGGAAAACATTTCATAACTATTAGTAGAAATTAATAATCTATTATTGTAGGCAGGCAGGTTTCCAGAGTGGTGAGTATGATTCACACCTGAGCACAACTTTCTAGAAGACCCAAGAAACAGGCCACATGGTGAGTTTTATTTCATTATATGCTGGGGTGGACAATGCTTACTATAGAATATTCTGTTATCACATAGCCAGTGATGTAGAGAGAACATGGACTCTTGTAAGGAAGAATGTGATTTCTAAGATTTGGAAATGTAGATGAATAATCTAGAGAAAAGGGACATAAAATTAGTTTCTGTACCAAAGGCTGTTCAAGAATCTAAGCTCTAAGAGAGCGAAGACCAACTCGGTCATCTTTGTCCTCCTAGCATTGACATAATACTTACACTTTGTGATTACCCAACACATTGAACCCCTGGTTTAAAGAAATCAAAATGCAGATTTCAACGGTTTCTTTATTGATATATAATAATTGTACATGTTTATGAGGTGCATGTGATTTTTGATGCATGCATACAATGATCAAATCAGGGTTTGAGAACATCCGTCTCCTCAGATGTTTATCATTTCTTGGTGATGAGAATATTTCATGTCTTCTTTTCTAGCTATTTTGAAATACAATAAATTATTGTTAACTAGAATCACTGTACTGTGCTTATTCCAGAATTTATTCCTTTTATCTGACTTTATATCCGTGCCTATTAACCCATTCTCTTCATTCATGTCCCACTTCCAAGCCTCTGGTAATCCTCATTCTACTGTCTACCTCATGATATCAACTCTTTTATCTCCCACATATGTGTGAGAACATATGATATTTATCTTTCTGTGCCTGGCTTATTTCTATTTTTAAATTGATGCATAATATTTGCACATATTTATGGGGTACATCTGATACCTGATGCATGCATAGAATGAAAATGTACAAGACATTTTTAAAAATTCAGGAAACAACAAGATAAATAAGTTTTCTTCTCTGGGGAAGAAAATGTAAACAGTGCACTAATCCTTGATTGGATCAGAGGCAAACCTTGTTCCCCATTTTTTGTCATATTTCTGAAAGAAAGAAAAGGCGAGAAAAACTCCAAAGTCAAAAATATTGTCTGAATTTTGAAGTTTCTGTTCATCTGTATCCTCCCAACTTTTTTTATTTCTTAGGTTTCCCATCTCACCTGCATTTTCTAGACCCTGAATGAGTAATCCTCCTCTTGCCTATGTTTTAAATTTCCTCATCCCACTCTGTAGATTATTCTGTTACAGCCTCCTGTATAATGGTGTTGCAATAGAGTTTTTGGGGGGCATTAGCAATTTAGAGTTGATTAATGATCTGGAGGAGGAAGAAAGCAAATATTCTAGGCCACAGAAATGAGTAAGATCTTCTAGTTAATAAAGTGCAATTAAGTTATAAGAATAATATGGCTGAATTCTAATATATGCAAGCATAATGGAAACTGTGATTTTACAGTGATGAGCTTCAAACTATAAATTATAATCTAGACAAGGGATCTAGATGTTATTGCAGATTGTTCCTAGATGTATTAGTTGGATGAGCTACTGTGACTCAATGGAGGAGTAAAATATTAGGCATCTTCAGGAAGAGAATTAGAAGCAAAACTAAAAATCATATTCTATCTAATTGGCACCTGTATTAGGATGGCACATGACAGGCAGCAATGCATGTATATGGTCAATGCACTTCAAGAAATATTTTCAAAAAGTGTAATAAGTCCCATGTGAGCAATTGGAAGGAAATAATACTTATGTAGTCCAAGCTGGGATAATCACACACTTGTATAGAAATTTAGGAATGTTAAACTGAAGTACCTCCACCTCTACCCTTCTCTTTTTAGAAACTTAAACCGGTTCATTTGTGAAGAATAAAAAGGAATAACTATCAACAAAATCATTATTATTAAGGGTTTTCTATAAGCCAAGTGCTAGGTCAAACTCTTCAAATACATTAACGCATTTAGTTCTCATGGTGACTCTGTGAAACATCACCATACTCAATTACAAATGAGTCTGAATATTGTGCTTAAAGTCCTGAGGAAGAACTGAAGTAATTCATACAGTCCCTGAGTTGGTTTCTAAAAAGAATATAATGACAACATCTGGAAGGAAGCCTTAGACTAAGGTTATTCAAAATAAGGGAGATTATTTAGGAGGCCACTGCAGTGAACATGGTGATGGTAGAAAGCATGGAGAGTACAGACAGAGAGAAGAGAATTTGGGAAGGTATTGTCTTTGAGTTGGCAGGAGAAGGGAGGTGATTAAGATGGTTCTTAGTTTTCTGAATGGAGGTAATGGCTAAATATGATGGGTATTATCAAGAGTAGACATTGGGCTTAGGGGGTAAGGATAATTGAAGTAACAAAATAGGATGTTTGGTCCTTCTCTGATTAAGTGAATTTTATCTTTGCTCTCACACTGGGAAAACCCATTCCCGGTCGGAAGAGACAGCTTCAGATTCATGTTGTCCTCTTTCCTCCCTTTGCCTAGGATTCAAGGGGATGAACTAAATACTGTAGGTGTCCTAGCAAATCAATTTTCATGACCTTAGAGGATATGTGTTTCAGGAATTCCAGGAAGAAGAGACAATGTGGATGCTCCCTTTTCTAGTCTTTCATGATGACAGGCACACAGGGCTTAGGGAAGTGAAGATTAGATTTAGTGTTCTGGGGAGAACTCATTCTAAGAACTCCCACAGGGCATTTGGTATTGAATACCACTGGCAATATTGAAAGGATAACAGTCTCAGATATGCTTCATCTCTCACTAGGTTACCGTTCCTCTATGGCTCCTTGGGGGACTAATTCAAGCATATGTTGAGGAGGAAGAATAGATCTGGACACATCCCATGTATCACTTGCTTCTTCCCTGAACTAGACTCATCTCTTCAATGGCCAGGTAGTTGTCTCTTTCTTTCTATAAACAGCTTTGTTGAAGTAGAATTGACATAAAATCCACTAAATATATTTAATGTATATAATCTGATGAATTTTGCGGTATGCATACATCATCACCTTAATTAATGAAACCATCGCCACAGTTGATGTCACAGACATATCTATCACCTTTGTAACTTTCCATGTGTCCCTTTCTGTTTTGTTCCCTTATGTGGTAAAACACTTACCATGAGATCTGCCCTCTTAAAAATTCACAAATGTTTAAGTGCATAATATAGTAATATTGACTATAAGCATTATTCTGTACAGCACATCTCCAGAACTTGCTCATCTTGGATAATTGAAACCTTATACCAACTGAAGAACAACTCACCATTTACTTCTCCTCCCGGGCCCATGATAACCACCCTTCTATTTTCCACTTCTGTGAATTAGAGTATTTTAGGTGTCTCGCATAAGTGGAATCATGCAATATATGTCCATCTGTGACTAGCTTATTTCATGTAAAATAAGGTCCTCTGTTTTCATCCATGTTGCTGCAAATACCAGAATTTCTTTTTTAAGGCTGAATAACATTCCTTTCTACATGTAAACCACATTTTCTTTACCCATTTATTTTTCAATGGACATCAGGGTTATTTCCATAACTTGGCCATTGTGAACAGTGCTGAAGTGAACATGGGAGTGCAAATGTATCTTTGAGATTCAGATTTCAATTCAGGTACATGAAAAGATGCACAACATCACTAATTTTCAGAGAAATGCAAATGACAACCACGATGAGACATCACCTCACAGCAGTTAGAATGGCTAGTATCAAAAGAACTGTCATCAAAAGTTAACAAGTATTAGCAAGGATGTGGAGAAGTTGGAACTCTTGGACCCTGTTGATGGTAATGCAAAATGGCACAGCCACTGTGGAGTTTCTCAAGAAGTTAAAGATAGAACCAGCATATGATCCAGCAATCACACTTCTAGGTATATAATCAAAAAATTAAAACCAGGTGGTTGTTTCTACAAATCTCTTTTAATGTGTTTATGCTTTCCCTCTCATCTCTTCATTCTCAATCCCAGGATCCTAAGGCAACCTGCTGTAATAGCAAAGACAAAGGTGAGCCAAGGTGAGGACTCTGAGCAATTGGCCAAGAGCTGAACACTGGTGGCCCCTGGGGTCTGGGGCATTGCTCAGAGGATGGACATACTCTACTGAAAGCCTTGGTCTAGCCTACTGTATTTCATGATTGCCTCATCATACCTTTCTTTTCTTTGCCCAGCTCTTACAAACCTAGATCTACCTCAGTGCTGAAGTCAAATTCCACTTTTGTGACTGAGTTCCTCTTTGAAGGTTTCTCTAGCTTTGAGTGGCACCATAGACTTATCTTCTTTGTTGTCTTTCTGACTTTGTACCTGCTGACTTTCTCTGGAAATGTGATTATCGTGACCATTATTCACCTGGATCGTCACCTCCACACCCCCATGTATTTCTTCCTGAGCATGTTGTCCATCTCTGAGACCTGTTACACTGTGGCCATCATTCCCCGTATGCTTTCTGGCCTCCTGAACCCTCACCAGCCCATTGCCTCCCAAAGTTGTGCCACTCAGCTCTTCTTCTATCTCACCTTTGGGATCAACAACTGCTTCCTGCTCACGGCCATGGGATATGATCGCTATGTGGCCATATGCAACCCCCTACGATATTCAGTTATCATGGGTAAGAGGACCTGTGTCCAGCTGGCATCTGGGTCACTGGGAATTGGTCTGGGCATGGCCATTGTTCAAGTAACATCTGTGTTTGGTCTGCCCTTCTGCGGGGCCTTTGTCATCTCCCACTTCTTCTGTGACGTGAGACCCCTGCTAAAGCTGGCCTGCACAGATACCACTGTCAATGAGATCATCAACTTTGTTGTCAGTGTCTGTGTCCTTGTCCTACCCATGGGACTGGTATTCATCTCCTATGTCATCATCATCTCCACCATCCTTAAGATTGCATCAGCTGAGGGTCGGAAGAAGGCCTTTGCCACGTGTGCCTCCCACCTCACGGTGGTCATCATCCACTATGGCTGTGCCTCCATTATCTACCTCAAGCCCAAGTCCCAGGATTCCCTAGAGCAGGACAGACTCATCTCAGTGACCTACACCATCATCACTCCCCTGCTGAACCCCGTCGTGTATAGCCTGAGGAACAAGGAGGTCAAGGATGCTCTGCGCAGAGCCATGGGGCAAAAGTCCCTCTCCCCTTAGTGAGAAGAGGTTGTGAATAATTTTTCTCTGAGTTTATAAATCTGTATTCATTTTTAGTGCTGTTTTAATAATACCTTTAAGTATGAGATCAAGGATACTAGACCAAATTAAATTGTGTGGCAAAACTGGTGATGAAACTGAAGAGGTCATACTTTCCTGTCCCCTCCTCCAGAGCAGTCAGGAAATGGCTTGGCATATATTGAGCATGTAGAGAAAAGATGTGTATGTCTAGGTTATGTGCACCCAGGTGCACTCACACATGGGTACTCACATTCTTAACAATATTACAGGTTACACAACTCTGTTGAGACACGAAGTCCAGCAGGGTTCTAAAAAGCTAATGAACAAAGGGTTTGGAACCCACCTCAGAAAAACATTTCTGTTGTTGGTAAGGATGTTGGAGTAATTTGTGCAGCCTTTTTACAGGTTAGTGAGAAGGCACATATGCACATACATTTCTGTGGGCACTGAAGGCTGTGAGCTGTCTTTGGTGCTGTTCGTAGCCCAACACAGCCTGGGGAACCTTGAAAAAGCTAGAGGCACCATGCCAGGTGGATGGCACTGCACCAGATGAACTAGGAATTAGGGATACAAATGCAGGAAAGCACAAAAGCATCAGCTACAGGGTACACAGAGGTGGGAGGTCCTCAGTTCTGAGGCACCCACATGAGAAAATTCAGATTGAAAAAAAAGATTATGCTGAAGAGCTCAAAACATTGCATACATTCAACACAAGAATAAAAAGGATGGATGTTGGAAGAGGACAAGCTAAAGTATAATTCCTTTTGCAGGATAAATGTCAAACTCTCTGAAATAATTTTATAAACACAAGCACTTTAAGTACAACTCTGGAAAAAAATTATTAATGAACAGAAGTCTGAAGAGTGACTTAAAAATTTTTCAGTGAGCTCTGAAGGCTGCTGGGGGAAATTTTTAGAAGTTTCTTCTTGAGTACTCCTAATGTTAAACCTGACTTTAAAATAGCACTTCGTGACTGAGTATCACAAAAGGTAAAAGCGGACGGTCTGCTGCAAGGAAGGATCCCATCTCTTTAATCCTTCCTCTCCGCTCTGGCCTTCAGCACTGAGGAGCAAGCAAGCCCTGAGTCTCAAAGATAGTTCCTACGGTATCCAGAATCCATCTGATCTGATGGAGTGACCCTTCGGAGGCAAGATGCCATCTGTGAGGACGTCACGAAGTCTTCTGGGTGCTGAGGGTGGAACAAGTTAGTGGAAGTGAGCTCCCCCTTTAAGTCAAGTTACCGTGTCTTGCTTTGCAAAGAAACTCTGTCATATGAAGTCTGACTGGGATAAAAGATATCTTTGCTTTAGTGTCCAGATTTCTAGAAATGATAGAGATAGTGCATTTCTGTGAAACTGGTAAAAAAAAAAAATTAGAAAATGTGCCTAGTAGTTCTGCTTAATCTGGGTAAAATCTATTGTGCAAAGGTCTGATGGTCAATGCCACCTGTCTTCTAACTGAAGTTGTATTTCATGGGTGCTGTGGCATGTCACTGGATTGCACCCCTTCTACACCCACATGTCCATTCCCCCAGCTCTGAGAGTGCCTTATGCTGATGGCTCATGGTGGTTGAGTTCCTTCTTCAAAAATTGTCCTTGTAAAGAGCTGTTTCCTCCAATGGAAAGGTCACATCCCCTTTCCAGGGATACACAGCCTTCAGTGATTTGTCTGCTTCAGGTTATTGCCTCACCTTAGGCCAGCCGTGAAGGCCTCTCCCAGCTCCATAGCTCTCTTTTGTGAGATGGTCACAGTTTCTGCTGTGATTACATCCCATTTGGACTTCTCTCTTTGTCTAATCCTACTTCCTTCACTCCCTCACAGATGTAGATGATGAGATCATTCCCTAATAAACTTGCTGTGTTCACATTTATATCTGGGAGTCTGCATTAATGGGGATTCTAACCTACCACATCTTAAGATCCCATTTCTAGAAGAGTAATTGACGAAGCAGAGAGCCTCAATTTTCAACCTTGATAAATTCTAGTAAAGGCAGCTCAGTGGCCTGTGTTTTAACTTAAAAAATAGTTTCATCTATTTATTGAGCTGTATTTACTGTGACTCACTTTACTTGGCAGAAGTGCAGTATTATCTTCTTGGAAACTGGTCAAAAATTAAAATCTGAATTTCTTCCAGAATTCACAAAAAGTCATTCTTTTCACTTCAAAATATACCCTGTGAGCCACTTCACTTCAGCTGCATCAGTCTTGCAGAGAGATTGTCCCCCGCACCCCCACCGTTAGTGACCCCTGGAAGATGGAAAGTAACAGGGCAGGTTGAAAGTGGGACTATCCCATTCCAATTTTCAAGAGAACAAAGAGCATAGATGCAATAAATGAAATATACAAGTGAGTTAGATGGTGATCATGGGTATATTTATAGAGGAAAAACTTTGTGGTGGAATGTTGTGGAGGTGGCAGCACCAGATGGAGACCTGGGCATGGTAAGTAACTGTCCTGAGCTAGTCAGAAAACCCATGGCAGAAAGCCACTCCCAGATGTTACTGGGGACTGAGGTTGGCAGGTGCCTTTGCCATCCTCAATGTAAAGCTTCCACCTCTAGGTTTAAGGAACCACTGTTGTCACCATTTCCCATTTAATGAGAAGGAGGAAAGAGAAGAGTCTTTCTTTAAGTTCTCAATTCCCCAACATACTGATGAGGTGGGTCTCTACTTTAGAGCTGGCCATGGGACTTTGTCAAGTCAATAGGGAGCTACTGACTTGATTTTGGAAAACCAGCCACTAACTACTGAAAATTCATGATAATTTGTGATCACCAATTTGGAACTAATCAGGGAGAGCAAAATTTGCTGTACGAGCTGGTATAGACCAGTTTGGTAAGAGATCAGAGGTGATGGAGGCATCACCCCTGTATGGATCTAGAGTGAATTATTTCTATCCTAATCATTTTTATAATATATGTCATCACTTTCTAGCATAGTAGGAAGTATTTCATATATCTTAATGTTTAAAGACATCTTTATAAATGCCATATTTTGAGGTCCACAAAATACTCAGGCTCTAATTTTGTGTTCCTCTTTCCTTTGGAGCAAGTGACATATGACTATCAAAAAGGAAATGAGTGCCAGATGCAATGGCTTACTCCTGTAATCCTAGCACTCTGGGAGGTTGAGGCAGGAGGAATACATGAGGCTAAGAGTTCAAGACCAGCCCGATGAACAAGAGAGAGATTCCATCTCTACCAAAAATTTAAAAAACAAAACAAAACAAAACAAAAAAACCCTAGCTGGGCATGGAGTTGCACACCTGTAGTCCCAATTACTCAGGAGCTGGAGGCAGGAGGATTACTCGAGCCCAAGAGTTTGTTTTTGCAGTGAGTTATGCCCTGGACAACAAACAGCAAGAGAAAGGGAGAGAGAGAGAAGAATATGAAAACATGAGAATGAATAAATAGTAGACATGTGTGTACTCCTTTAATATTCTGAAATTAAAAAAAATAGCAGAGTACACAGGGCTGAGACAAACATGGAATTAGATGCATGGAAGTGCACAGTGAAGGGACAGAGCAGCTCATGGAGGATGAAACAGGCTCACGGGACCTCCTCAGGGGATGCATTTCTACCTGGGTCATCACCACATAGGAACAGAATGACAAGGCAATACACAACAAAACACTTGGGTTCCAAGGGAAAGGGGCATGAGCAGTAGAATCTCAGGAACTGGCAAGTCACGTGGACCAATCACACAGCTAGTTAGCAGCTTGAACTCCCAGATCTGTGTTCTAGTCACAACTTCCTCAAGCTTGGAGTGAGGAGAATCAGGGAGGTAAAAGTAAATTGTGGCACTCAAGAAACTAGAAAATTTCTCACAAAAATACGTCTCAAGCAGATCAAACCTGGACTTTCTACCCATGCCAAGTACATCTCAGTTCTTCATTCTGAGTTATTTGGCCTCAGACCCTTGTCTGAAATAAGAGACCTTGCTCTCTAGCCCCGTGTCCGGGATGCCAAAGCACTGTACGTAACACTGTGAACTAAGTGTGATTAGTGAATATGGAGGCAGGACTGGTCCCAACTCTGTAACCTAAAATAGACCTCAGGAAGGTGGCAGATGACATGTCCTGGAGCAACACCAGAGGTCCCAGGCTGTTGTTGCTGAGGAAACTCTTCATTCATCAAACTGACTTACTGTGTAAGGCAAGTGACAAGGCTGCTCTCAGAATTAAGCCATTTCTCCTCACCTTGAAATGACTTATAAAAAATGGAGGAGAGGATGAAGAAGGGTCATACCAGATGCCTGTTTAAATATTTGTATCTAATGTACTAAATACTAATATGAAATTCTAGCACTCTGGGAGGCAGAGGCAGGAGGATCACTTGATGGTAGGAGTTTGAGACCAGCCTGATGAGCAAGAGAGAGACTCCATCTCTACCAATGCAAAACCAATATATAAACAACTACATGGCCATATGAGGGAAAAACACAAGGTAAAGGGAGAGGGAGAAGAAGGAAGAGGTGGAGGGAAAGGAAGGAAGGTGATTGGCAGGTTCTCACTTAATGTGCACAATGTGAGGGTGTTCAGCATGTCCCGGGGTGAAGGGCTCAATTACAACTTGAACTTTACTTTAGAAAACAATGTAATCTAACGATTTGTAATTTCATATTCATCTGAAATTTTTTAAAAAAGAAAAAAATCAAAAAGAAAAGAAAAGAATGAAAGAAAAAGAAAGTTTCAGCAACTTTTCTCTGCTTTGTGGCCCAAAAGCTTTCCTTAGAAAAAGTAGGACCTGTAGGTCTCATGAATATTTACAAGTTTTCTCCCCAGATACACTTCCTCCTATTATTAATCCTTCTAAAGCAGGGTGAACTACAGGCACTCTGCCTCTCATTGGCTGCCATGAGCTCATGGTCAGCATTGATAAGATGGTCCCTCTCTTCCCTGGGGCTTTCCCTAAACCCCAGATATCACTATCTCCATGGGCAGGGTCATGGGGGGTGGGCAATGGTGGCAAAACTGGGCCTTCATATCAATGCTAAAAGTTTCTAAATCTTTATAGATTTTTTCAATTTATAAAGAACTTTTAGATACAGCCTCTTATGTGATTCTTAAAAGAACTTAGGAGGTATATAGGATGACTATTATCTTACAACTGAAATAGTGAAACCAGTGGATGTACAGGAAGTTCTTCCAAATCACAAACTTTCTTTTTTTTTTCTTTTCTTTTTTATTAAATCATAGCAGTGTACATTAATACTATCATGTGGTACAGTGTACTATTTCTGTATACAATTTGAAATACTTTCATCCAACTGGTTAACATAGCCTTCATGTCTTTTTCTTAGTTATTGTGTTAAGACATTTATATTCTACTTTTAAAGAGATTCACATGTACCCTTATAGGATGAAGCATAGGCATGATCCTACCAATCAGCCTCCCTCCACCCACTCTCCCCCCTCTTCTCCCCTTTCTCTCCCCTCTCCCCATATTTCTGGGCTAAAATTGGGTTATAGCTTTGCTATGAAAGCTATAAATTAGTTTCATAGTAGGGCTGAGTACATTGGATACTTTTTCTTCCATTCTTGGGATACTTTGCTAAGAAGAATATTTTCCAGCTCCATCCATGTAAACATGAAGGAGGTAAAGTCTCTATTTTTCTTAATGGCTGCATAGTACTCCATGGTGTACATATACCACAATTTATTGATCCATTTGTGGATTGATGGGCTCTCAAGATTAGAAACTACATATGGTTGAGTCTTTTTCTAATGTATAGCTTTATAATAAGCAGAAACACAACCTTATTCACTCCCTAATAGAAGTCTGAATATGGTGAGGACATAAAATGGAAAGGAAAAATACAAAAACCAAAATGGCCCAGCTCTTTTGTCTGAGATCTTATTCAGTCCTGGACTCTTTTCAGAGCTGAGAGTTCTGATTATTATAATTTGGGGGGTGGGGAATTTCTCTAAGATGCTCAGTTCAGCTCTTTATCTGTATACAAATGGTGAGTTTGGTTGATGCTAGAGGGGAGAAGCAATCACAGGGGAACTCTAGAATAAGCTTCATTTTTAGAGTCCTGTGGTTTCAGACTGCCTCTGATTCTGCTAAGAACCAAAGCTCATGGAAAGGTGAAGAGAGAGCATAAAAGTTATCTGCCTCACTGGCACTCTACCACGTCTTCTCAATCCTCACTCAACTTAGAATAATCAAGACAAGACATTTCTAACCTCACAGTTCATGTTCATGTCTCGAAAAGAAAACAAACTAGCAAGCCTTGAATAGGTGGACATTTCCTGTTAACATGGTTTCACACTTACTTTACTCAAATTGAACTTCTCTTTGACAAAAGTTACTGAGTCTATTTGCTCTTTCATTTATTCAACCAATGTTTATTGAGCACTTACTATTACATGTCATCTAACCAGTTTCAGTTGGTTCAATGAAGCAGTTTTATAAATCCTTGAACATAGACTTTCTTATATATGTTGTAAGCAGTGTTTGATGATTGAGAAGTAATTGCTGATGCTGGAAAAAAACAAAAAAATGACATTGCAGTGTTTCTTGAGTAAGAATATTAGTTCTTTTGGGGATCTGGCTTAGGATTTAGCTTCAAAAGTTTGTTGCCTTTCCTGGTCTCCTTGGTCTTCAAGAGTAATGTGAACTGCTGCTGGGTGGAGAGAAATAACCATGTGTCTGCTGCAAACAAAGCCATCACCAACAGTGGGGTGCAAAATTGTAGCCCGAAGTACTTGCTTAGAGGAGCTATAGGGGAACACAGATGAAACAAGAAACATAATTAATATTAGTAATCGAAGGATGAGTATCAGAGCATTCTCCTTCATAAAAAGAAAGGCCAAGTGTCCTCCATGTTTAGCATGACGTGGCATCCAGAGTAGAGAGGAAACATTCAGATTGGTGCTCCCTAGAGACCTGGGGAGTCCTGACAATTTCCCCATAGCCCCTAACAGTTCCTCTAGCCAGTATGCCCAAGGGGCAAGGTCATAGGGAAGATGACCCTTCTTGAAGCTGATAAGACCAACATCCATATATGATTTGGGTGTGAAAGGAGGCAGAGTGAGGCCAGGAGTCACCTGTGCCTTCTTTCTCAACCAGTCATTGTTTCATGCATGCCTATTAGGTGAAATGAAGATTTTGGATTAGCTAAGTTGCCTTCCAGTTCTATTATTTTGCGATTTTCTTCTTCTATTTACACTGTACTGTTTTTGTGATTATTCTAGAATTATAGAGCACCAAAATATTACGGTTAGAAATAGACCAGTGATTCTCATATCAGCTAAACATTACCCTTACCTAAAAGAGCTTTTAGAAAATACTGATGACCAGACCACACTTTAAACCAATTAAATCAGAATCTCAAGAGATAAGACATGGACATCAATATTTTTTAAATTCCTCAAATGATTTTAATGGCATATACACAAAACTCTCCGTTTACAGATGAAGATATTAGAAGCCTAGAAAATTAAATAGCATTTTGGTCTCAGATTAATTAACAGAGAACTGCCATTGGCTTTAATTATGAATTTTGGCCTCTTGCTTTTTTAGACATTACTATGAACAAAATTTGCCAAGAAAAAGTCTGATTTTCTCCTCAGCAAAGCAAACAACTTCAAAGCCTCTCTTTCTTGTTTGGAGTTTGGAAAGAATAGATGTTTTATAATCCATAGAGACCCAGTCTCTCCTGATTAATCCCAGGCCCTCATCCTTGAATATACAGGCACCCAGCTGACTGACTTGCCGATTTCCTTCTCCAGCCCTCCTAAGCTGGAATAGATTATTGGAGCTGTTCACATACTTTGTTCTTTCAACTTTGAAACTTTCTTTTAATTTGATAAATATAAGTGTTCTCCCCAGGAGCAACAGAAGACTTTGGGATCAAAATAGTAATCACAATCTGTTATGCTTGGGTAGTGCTTAGCAGTTTACAAAGCCATTTCATAAATATTACCACATTAATCTTCATAAAAATTTTATAGTGTGAGCAGGTATTACCATCAGCATTAAATAAATAAGGACACTAAGATGAAGATGGAGACACATACTATCACCTGGGTCTCCTCACTGCAAATCTAGCAGCCTTTTCAGCACGTATAGCCCCGTGGTACAAGCTGCAGCCACTTAAGGCTGAGATGGCATCTTTTCCTTCCCCTGATAAGACTCTTTCCCTTTGCTTTACCATCTTACCTTTTATTACAGTAATATTGAGGGGCTCAGAGATATAATTCAGCCGCTGAACTCTGCCCTCACAGTGATAGGTGCCACTGTCTTTAATGGTGGTACTTGAAATGGAGATGTTGTGGTTCTCATACCAGTACTTGAGAGCTTTGCCATTCTTGTAGTAGATCACTTTGTAGACATTCCGATCCTTCCAACCATGACACCTGAGGAGGAGGGGCCTACCCTCTGTCACCACCTCAGCAGAGGCCTGAAGGAGCAGCCAGTCTGAAGAGCATTCATCATGTTATTTGTTTAACAATCAATGGAGAAGAGAAAGAGAGAAAGGGAGGGGGGAAGAGAGAGAGAGAGAGAATGGATAGATAAAATAAAAGGGGTCATGTACAGAGTATGTCAGAAACCGTGAATTATCATTAAGCCACTTCCTGGCTCATAAGCTCAATGAAAATGAAACACCAAATAATGTTTCAAGCCTGTCTTCTATATTGATAATGCTTCTCCTCCTGAAATGCCAATCTGAGCCATAAACTCTCTCTGACCTTTCCACTGAGCCCACACATGGAAGACCTGGAACCTAGAATTCCTTTCCCATCTATTGTTGCCAGTTCAAGTCTCTAATAGGAAAATGAAGATACACTGCTTGGGGAATTTGGGCTTAGTGTCACTTTCATCCTCTCTTACTTCACAGAGCCTTCCCAGTTCTATGTCAAATCAAGCTATGTCTCATGATTTAGGTTAATTAAATTAATTAATTTAATAATTTGTGCTCTGCATTTAATATCTCTTCCTATTTAGTGCTATGCTGCAGAGGGTGAGAGGCCCTGTCTGCTTCTGTATTATATTCCCAGCGCTTTAAACAATACCTGGGAGTTGGAAGGCACTCAACAAATATTTGTCAATAATGAATCCATAAAAGATAAGAATCAGTTTCTGAGATGAGTGCCAATGTGAAAATTGAAAAGCAGTTGCAACACAAGAATTTTGAATGGAAATATGGTTAACTTATACCAGCATATTTTGTCTAGGGCCAATCCTTAAGGACTTCTTTAGAATCTACTACAAGGAAATAAGGAACCTATTCTACAATACATTGCTTCAGTTTTCTTTTGGCCGGGACTGGGTTTGAACCTGCCACCTCTGGTATGTGGGACCTGTGCCCTACTCCTTTGAGCCACAGGCGCCGCCCTACATTGCTTCAGTTTTTATGTGGAATTTGTACATGGATGTTGAAACATCTGTTTTCTCTCCAGAGAACAATATAAAGAATATTGTGACTATTAGAAATCAAATTGGTTTGTTTATTCAACATTTACTAAGCATGCTGTGCTAATTGGGTGATGCAGGAGAGGGATAAAGGTAAAACCAACGTAAGATTTGTTCTTAAGTAACAATAGAGGACATGAAGAATATACACAGATATCTTTCAAAATAATGAGTACAATCTAATACTCAGGCCATAGCACATGGTTTATGCACAGCAAATCCTTAAATCAAACCTACTGATCCCATTCCAGATGCTCGGCTCTTTGAAATGTTCACATGCCATTTGACCACATAATACACATCTGTATGTGCAGAAAAGACAGAGAAAAATAGAATAGAAGAATAATATTTAAAGAGTATTTTAAAAATACATAAATGTAAGAAGAGTGGGGTATAAGAAAAGAGATGGAAGGGTCTTGAATGAGAGGCCCTCAACCTCACCCTGGTTCCCTCAACCTTAAAACAGCCTGCTTTCTCCCTGCCTTCAGATGAGTCATTCCTTCCATGGGAGATCTGTATTTCCATGACTTTGGAACTTACCACTGAAGACTTCCAGATGTGCAGGTTTACTTTCCTTAAAATTTTGGTACTGACATTTGTATTCCCCACTGTCATGGAAGCTGGCATTCACGATACTCAAACTTGAAGTCGTCTCTAGTAAAATTGTGCCATTGTGGGTCCACTTGGTGGAGTTGACCTCAAAGAAATTATCCCTGTTACACAACAGAGTGACATTTTCTCCTTTAAATATTCGATTCCACTGGGGATTCAGGGACAATATAGATTGTCGGATGGCTTCTAGAAGATGAAATTATGGAAAGAGATAGAGAGGAAAAAAAATCATTGAAAAACTATCCAGGTTCGAAAGCACAAACATACCAATATTCATACAATCAATGGTCAGTCTATCCTTGTCCTGCTGCTGATAAGACCCTGACCTGAATCCTGGAGGAGAGATCAAAGGATGCACATGGTGGTGTTGTGGCCCCAAGGGAGCTCCCAATGTTGAGAGAAGATAGGGACCTGAATGTGGGCGAGTCAAACACAAACCAACCAACCAGTGTATTATAGGATTTGGGACAACTCATTCTAATTCTCTCAATTTCAATTTTAGTATCTGCAAATGAAGACTGAAATCTCTTTTCATGCAGTGATAGTATCTGTTATGCTCAACCATTACTCAGAACAATGGCCAGTATATAGTGAGTGTTCTTTAAATACCTGTTGAGTAAATGAATGAGTAGATTATAGATGGATAAAGGTATTGGGCTAAATGAAATATAAGGCCTTCCTACACTCAAAATATTTATGACTATTTAATTGTGAGCGTATATGGAGTAAAAAATATATGTTAATTCTGGAAGGAAGAAAGAAGCAGTGAGAGAGTTGACATGAATGTCTTCCAAGAACAAAAGGATATAATGCAAATTTGAATAGAAACCAAAGAAGTGGCTAGATGAAATGTTGAAAGAGAAAAGGACTTGAGTCCAAGGGACTTATGTTGGAATCCAGTTCCTAATTAGCTGTGTAACATCCCGCAAACCACTAATCTGTGTTTCAGCATCCTCAATTATAAAAAAGTCACAATAACAATAACACCAGAATTGAATGGGATTAGGTGAATGTGCCTGGGAGAGAGGCTGAGATTCGAATGTGTGCAGCAGACATGAGCATGGTCGTACACATTGGAGGGCTGACTTGAAAGAAGGAAATGACATATGTGAGAAACTTTTGAAAGGGGGGACAAAGGAAGACAGGGCAAGGTGGGGACAAGATCCTGGGAGGAACAGATTCATACTCATTAGAGAACAGGAGTGATGGGATGAAGGAAACTGTAAGGGGACAGCAATGCCCAGACACACTGAAGTACTGAGGAGACAAGCACAAAGACTCACCTGTGAACATTCCATCCAGAGCTGCAAAAGTCCAGAGAGGGCAAGTTAGCTTCTATGCCAGTCTTACGGAATTTCAGGGAACTGGGGTCTGGGTATGGGGATGAGATCTATATCCACAGAATTTTAAGGGGCAGCTCTTGTCTCAGGAATCTGACCCTGGAAAAGAAGGAGCTTCTCTCCTTCCTCCATCCTCCCTCCCTTGGTAGGAGTCTTGCACTTTGGGAGATGTCAAAGTGTCTGCAAGGAACTAGGCTTTGAGTTGGGCTCCCTGGTAGGTGTTGCTCAGCCCCTTTCCTCTGCTTTCCTGCTTGCCTACACTGGGAAATGCCACATGGTTTGCACCTGTCCTAGAAAAAGTCACCACCAAAACTGTCAGCAGTCCTACCCCAGATGCTCCTCAGGTTCATTTTGGACCCTCCAGGAGAGATAACTGAACCTTTACTTACGTACAAGCAGCAAAGCTGTCCAGAGCAGGGCAGGGGCTCCTGTGTGAGATGACATCTCCTTCGTTGCCTCCAGGTGCTGACTGGCCGTGAGAGCTCTTTGGCTTCAAGAACAGGCTTGAAACCAAAAAGCAGAAGGAAATGTTTTGTACATCATATCTGGCTAACCCATCAGCTGTGCCTGGGCTTGCCTCTTTCTCTGAAGATAATATTCAGGGTAGTGCCAAAGTGGGAGATTTTATATTTACGCCCTCACTCCACTCTCCATCCCATCTCCATATATACCCTGGAATCTGGTGAGAGACCGGTCTAGACACAGACACAGAGCTGTCTTAATCTGTCCATCAGTGTACAGCTATTTAGGTTGCAACTTAGAAAAGTGAGGTGCAAGGAAGAGCAGAATGAAAGAATAGCAGTTAATTACTGAATAGCTAACATATACTAGGTATTATGCTAAGTAGATTTGATACTTCATTAATTTCTCACAGTCATCTAAGCAAGTACTATCACTATATACATGTCTTATCTAAACATTTCATAGATAGTAACATTGGATCTCAGAGAGGATAAGTATCCTATCTTAGGGTACCAGCTAGTAAATGACTAATTTGGGAATCAAACATAAAATTGAACCTCAGAGTCAGACTCTCAACTGTTATTATATACTGTTTGTGCATGTTCAGGAGTATGGCCATGCTGAAATTCTTCTGGGGTTTGCTTGGGCTACCAACCTTTTGTTAATTTCCTGTTGATGAATTAATCCACAAAGCCACAAATTTTCATCTGATTACTGATTATCCACTAACTGTCCAGCTAAAGAAGAGATATTTTCAGAGACTTTTTTCCTCCAATGGTCCCCGACCTGGCTCAGCACCCAAGAAGCTGATGATAAAATATCATTCATAAAGATCTATAATTCATATAACTTATTTTATTTCCCAGATTTTGTTCATTTTTAATTTTATAATCCACCAACATGATCACTCTTTCTCTTTAAATATACATCAGGACCTCTGTCTAGGACTCTTTTGGACTAATTCTTCTGTTTCTCACCTCTCAGCCAGGGCTGGTCACATTCTTCCAGAATCTTATGATGATACTTGAGAAGATAACTCCATGAATATCTATAGTGGTTTGCCATTTATTTAAAAAAAAAAAAAAAAACCTTTTATAATCAGTATTATATTTCATCTTTGCCAAAACTTTAGCAGGCAGAGACAATGTGGTTAAATGTATCTCATAGCCGAATTAAGTGAGACGTTGTTTTGTTATGCCATGCTCTTCCTCACAGACTATTGAATTAAGTCTGTTGAGTTAAACACAATGTCACTGAAAGTAAAGATCTGACCCAAACTTCCAGCCTTCAATGGAACTAGAGAATATGGAACCAAATGGGGGTACTAAATAGAAAGTTTCAGATAAGAAAATGAATGACTTGTGCCAGGGCATGCCATGTTTTATCATAAACAGAGCAGCAAGTTATCCCGAAAAGTGCAAATATTTTGTATTTAGAGATCTGAATTAAAGTATTCCTAATCTTTATGTGGTTAAGGTTTACCTGTAAAATAGGGACAATAATAATATCCAGATCATGGTTTTCTTAGGGACTTAATAAGAAAATAAACAGGTAAAATACATTGCCCGGCATCTGGCATATAAAAAGATAATCAATAAAGATATCTTCTTTCTTCTTTATTAACTATTAGAGACTTATAAGAGAAATACAGATTTCAGTTGGGTTAAAGTAATTGGCAATCTCCATAGGATGCTTTATTTGATAACCAGTACTTTATGCTAGTATAATGTATCTAAGCAATCTCAATCTTCTCCATAATCATGAAGAAGAAAGCATAATCAAGAAAAAATAGAACACATAAAATTGTTTAATGAAGCTGGAGAAGACAAGGAGGATGAACTGGGAAAGATGGCATTTTTAACGTATGGTCAGAGGGTGATGTTTGAACCCCTAGATCCTAAAGTAGGGACAGTTCCTACTTTACTGCTTTGTTGAGAGTTTTTCCAGGGGATATTTGATTTCTTCTCT